ACTAATAAAAATCAAAACCATTAAAATTCACGACTCCCGTTATATTACACAAATGGGTACACAAGTAGTTATTTTATAAACTTAGAAAATTCTAATCGTAAAACAAAAAGGGTGGAATGGTCAAAGTAATGATGGTTTTGACCAAAATGAAATTGCTTTTCTTACAAGTAACTCTGTCAGTGATGGTGAGGAATGAGAGCTTGTAGGCAAATATTTTTCCATAGCATCCAAAGAAAATATTCATTATAAATAAATATATTTAATAAAATATTATCCCCAAAGCAATAAAACTTGTAATCAAATAATCTAATCTTGGTATTAAAAAAATATTATTATCTATACTATATTATAAAGCATTTGATAAAAACTCGTAAAAATCATTTTTTATGCATGAAATACGATATACTGATGCATGAAGTACTGTATACTGATGCATATTACTTAAAATTCAAGATAACAAGTAAATTATACATAAGTACTGTAATAACCAAAAAAAAGAGGAAATAAATTAATTGTAATTTAATGGCAGAAAACTCAATGGTCATAAAACCTACGACCATTAATTACGGCTTATCATTTCATATTTCATGAAACCGCCGATGACCAAGTATATATATGGGGAGGTCTTCAAGCATAGAGATGACAAAATTCTCGGGGAACGAAACTCGTATAAGAGAGGTGAAAGATGAAGATGATTTGGTGAAGCGCAACAAGTTTGATGCTTTTTTTTGGAGAACATGAGGAACTTCGAGGAACGGTTTGGAGTTATGACATGTATGGTGAGTTACACGTGATTTATTTTTAAAATGGTTGCATGCCTTATTATCCACAAGTTGTTTGAAGTTTCTCGAGATTTTTGATATGCTATATATGCGTGAAAAGTTCGATATTTTTGTAATATGTGTTTTGTGTATTTGTGTGTTAATGGGGATGTACTACAATATGAATTTGTAAAGACGAGCATGCTTTGTGAGCTTGTCTAAGGCATAAGTGCGGACATGATGTGTGAGTTCGCCAGGTAATGCTGTGTGAGGTAGACATCTCCCATGACGCCGTTACTTTGTGTTGTAGACACGCATTATAATATCTTTATTTTGTGAAAAGTATTATTCTCATCAAGGCATGCTAAATTTATAAAGCTTCGTGAAAATTGTTTATTGTAAAAGTTGTTCTTCGTGCATGAAAATCGTGGATTCACTGCGCCTAAGGCTCACCCAAAACTCTTTTAAACTTTTTCACCCAGGAAGCTATTAGACTGGAAAGAAAAGTTGGATAAAGAGAGATATAAGGATTAACATCAAAGAAGGACATGTGCAGATCAAGGCATTGTTATATAGAACAAAGTATGTTCGTCAAGATTGTAATATTAAATGGTAATATAATTTATAAGATTAGAAATTTTATTTCCGCTGCAATGTAAGTGTTTGATCTTGGGATACTAGTTTTGTTTTATTTCAGTATTCGAAATTTTTGGGATGTTACAAGTACAACTTATTAAAGCTACATGTTTGAATTCGTGTAACTAACTTCGGATAAACATAATCAAATAAAAAATAAACATCTCATTTTAAAATATAAAAAATATAAAATATAATTAGGATAATCAATATCTTTTAACAGAATACTTAATTATTAACTTTATGAAAATTATATTATTAAATCAAAAATAAATTACTTTCTTATTAACCCTAAATTAAATTATAATTAAAAAAATTTGAATTAAAGAAATTACACAACAAGACAAGATTTTTTAAATAGTTAATTTGATACTAATATCGATATGTTTTTTTTTAAATTTAAGATATCTTCAAATTTATATTTTATTCAAAAATAAAAACATTACCGTTTTTCTCAAACTCACATAAAACCGTATTATAACATCGACAGGAGGACAGAATAAAACGAAATAATAAAATCGAGATGTATCTCGTTGCATTGCACGAGTACCTTTCTAGTGTTAATAAAATGGCAAAAACAAGTTTATTGAAATCTAAAATGAGATGATGGAATTTATTAGAAAATAACATCGACCAGCAAAAAAGGTTCTGATAAAAACTATCATCGTAAACCTTTTAAGCATCTCTAACGGTATGCTATATTTTTTTACATTTGGAGATTTCTTCATTCTCTGTTTTAGAGAGGTTGATTTAGCTGTTAGAGCAAACTTTTCTTAAATCTCTAAAATTTCTAAAATAACATAGATATTGAAGATGCTCTTATTCAAGGCTTTAATTTAATGAGTTAAAAGAGATGTGTTAAAACACAGTACATGAACAAGTTATTATATGAACTTTTGTCGAAGATGTTTTAAGTTTCTTTTATTTTATTATTATTTAATGATATTCAGATTTGATAAAATTAAACTTTCTTTAAATTATATATGATTAAACATTATTGAATTTCATATGATACTTTTTTCATCCACAAAAATTGTAATATTTAGCCTCATACATAGTTTAAATATTTGTTAGATTATTTACTAATTATCTTAAATGCATTTTAGTAAAACAACAATCTTGAATTTATAATCATATTGTCAAAGTAAAACAAAAATCACAAGAAAATTCAACATTTATCCCATAGAAATATATTGCAATAGTACAAATACCTTTGAAATCTAATTAATAGGAGCATCAACAATGCTTGTTATATTTTATTTTAGCATAATTTTATCTTTTAGATGTTTTGCTAAAAACATTCTAATTAATAGACACGTGATATAAATTTATACACATATGAAAATTAACATCACTACTTAAGAGCACAGAAGCAAACAGCCGGTAAAGAAAGAAATTGATGCAATTGGGGTTCAATTCTATATAACACTTTTGTTTTATGCTTCATATAGTTTCATATTGTTGAGGAATGATTGGATCGATATGGAGGGCGTAAGGCCATCTGATTTACCAATAATGGTCCATTATTGAGGCTGTGAAAATAGAGTAAGACATCAAAGAGTTTAATGCATGTTTAATTGCTGAAATTGATGTTAAAAAGCTTTACTTGATTTATACATATATACAGGGAAGAGTTCAAATGAGAACACCTTCATTTTACAAAAACATGAGAACACCTTTTTCCTATAGCAATCATATGTGATACTACAGTCAATCACATATGATCAATGTGTGATACTAAGTCAAAGACGCAAATGATCTTTAGCAAGACCTAGGTTACGGGCCAAGTCTCCCGTACACTACTAGTCTGCCTCATGTGTATTATCACATGTGATAATGGTGTTATCTATGTGATACTATAATCCATCACATGTGATACTAAATCGGAGATGTAGACAACCTTTGACGCAACCTAGGTCGCTGGCCAAGTCATTGCCATCCACCAGGCCCTTCATGTGAATTATCATGTGTGATAAGGGTTTTCTCGTAAAATGGTGGTGTTCTCGTTTAAACCTCCACCTACACACACATACTTGTGAGTTTTGTTGTAATGCAAGAAAGGAGAGAAGTTTTGGAGTTGGAATGGCGAAATAGACTAAAAGTGACACTGGTTTGTAATACTTAAAGACAATGGGCACTACATGACTCGAACCACGAATTAGGAACTCAACTAGTAACGCCTATGATTAGCTTCCTAGTAGTCCCCAATTCCACTCCCTTTAGAAGAACTTTTTTTGGCTATGATTATGGAAAAATCCCAATAGGAAGCAGAGGAGAAAAGACTTGAACGGAATGATGCCAAACTAATATGTCTGGGATGTCAAAATATAAAGAGATATCTTACAAAATAGATTGAGGCTCTGTGCATAAGCTAGGCAGAACTAAGGTAGAAAAATCAACAGATTGAATAACTTCTCTAAAATGAGTACTAAGATCCACATTTTGCATAGAGAAAACACTAGTACCTCAGTTAGCCATGCTTAACCAACTGACTACTCTTCCTCCTCTTAGGAGATAGGGAAAAAGAACTAAAAAGGGTTCTCTTGCCCCTTCAAGTTTACCTACTACGGTACCGGAGTGAATATGATCTCCACGAGACATACCTAACGCTTTAGCCAATACATGAAAGTAAAATGTATACCATGATTATTTTGTCTACCAATAATTGCATGCATTGTGCGGTGGATGTGAAGAAGTAGGYCATTATCTCGGCAATAATGAGAGTAGCAAATGCTTGACTCTTTTACTTTTTCTCTATTACGCCTTGAGGGATTTTCCAGCCTACGGTGGTGGGGCTTTTGGATCCCAGCCACAGGCATGTGATGATCCAGCTTTCTTCTCATGAAGATATGGTTAAGGCCTTTACTAGGGAATCTCATATTATTGATTGGTCCTTGTTTAGGTTATTTCATTGATCACATGGTTTTAATCTCGGATATAAATCCTCTCTCTGCTGTTTGGATTCAGCTTCCCTACCTTCCTTGCTATTTTTGGCTCCTGCTTGCCTTAAAGGCCTTCTGGGAACCTTCAGACGATTCCTTGGTACAGATAGGAGATTTGTCTTGTTAACTTTAAGGCCCTTGTGATTATTCAAGCCAACGACCTACAACCCACTATGTCTCTTAATCCAGCCATCTAACGGTCCCGTAAAAGGTGTGGAACAGTTCAAGATTACCGAATAAAAACAAGAAATCACTAGACAAGGCATTTATGTAATTACTATTTAACTTGTTTTGACTAGCAAGCAAGTACATCATCATAAATTTAGATTCAATTAGTTAATTACTAATAATTAATTATCACTACAAAAAGATCACATACTTGTTATTTTCAAGATTATTTTAAAATAATCAAAATATATTTAATTCATGAAGCAACATTTGTTGTAGTTGAACAAAGTAAAAGGAGTACAAGAAACTATATCTACCCAAAGATACATAATAAAATGTATATATCTCCAATTTTACCCTAACTCTCTTCTCCCAAGCTGTTAAGAAGTCTACTATTTAACAGCTCATGACTCAATTTTCTTCCTTTTTTGGGAAAATTTTGAGGGTAATTTAGACCACACCAAATACTCATCCTACCAAATATATAAGAGAAAAAAAGAATCCAACCAAGTTTATTTTTTTAATTTAATATGAAACCAGATCTCTTAATCAAAGGGTGAGTTGTTGAGCCTCCTCCTTTTAGCAGAGTTTACACATGACCCAACTGCTGAATCTGAATCATCAGTTTTATAGCTCAAACATGCAGCCTCCAACACACCATTTGGGCTCTTTGGCATTGATGATGATGTCAATGTATCACTCATTAAGCTCATTGTACAGCCAACCTTTAACAACTCCACACATTTAAGAACCCTATCCTGCAGAAACCCACCCCATGTTGAAACAACAATCTTTAATCACTTCTGTTCTGCTGAAGAAATATAAATAGTCTTTCTTTCCAAATGTACAACCTTTATTGCAGGGAAATTTACATAAACAGTCCTTTGATTAAAATGATTTTACTTTTTAGTCATTTTATAAATTATTTTTTTAAGCGGTTAAAGTTTATACTTAAACTTTAAATGGTTTCTGTGTCAACTTACATTTTATACCCTTATAGTCATAGATTAAATAAATAACCATAAGGGTAGAAATTGTAAGTTTTAAAATAATTCATACGTATTTATAATATTTAATTATATAAGATTAAATGCAAAAATATTCAATATTGAGCTTATTTTGAACATATTGACAATACAATTATAATTGTGTAACTTGTAAAAAATGAAACATATTGTTGTCATATGTTTTAGTTATATATGATTATCTGTGTTAATATAATAAAAGTGTAAAATGAAAAATAAAAAAAATAAGATATATATATAAAGTAAATTAAACAACTAATTATAATAACGGAAAGTGTAATTTTTTTTACTAAATTGAAATCTTTACGCAAAAACCCTTTTCTGCATAATTGGAATTTTTGCATAAAGATTTTTCTTTTTGCGTAATGTGTTTTTTTTTTTTTTTTACCTGAAAATAAACTTTACGTAGAATAATTTCTGCGTAAAATTTAAGTGTAATTAAACTGACTATTTGGGGAAAAGAATTAAAAAGATGAAATCACAAGCTCAGCATTACAGTAAATCAAGCTCAATGTACAACCACATATGCAGAAGGTTGGATATTTCTGTGCTACAAGGACTTGTACCTTGTGAAATGAAGTGAGTACATTTTATTTTCATTTTGAAGAGATTTTACTTCATAAAGAAACCATCTTTAAGATGACCATAACAGAAACAAGCTGACTTTGATCTTCCAATGACTTGTTTTTTATGCAATGAGAGTTGTACAACCGAAAACAAGATCATTGTACAACATTCTATGGATCATTTACCTTTTGAACCAGGGAAGAAATCTGAGTTGATCCCACCACATAAGTTGCCACTGCTGCTGCTATCTCAGAAGGTCTAAATTCCAAAAACTGGATCTCTACAGTCAGAAATTACTATTTTAGCCCACATCATCTCATCAATACAATAATAATATCTTCCATTAATTCTAAAAACTCATCATTTCACCTTTAATTGTGCATAAAATGAGTTGGGTTGATCTCAAAATCAAAGATTTTGAAGTGGGTTGACCATCATTGACCTTCCCAAGAAAATCATCAATGAAAGAGAATGGAGTCACTGCTTGCATCCTCCATTTCAATGTGGTCAACACAAGTAGCTCCATTTTCTGAATGGTTCTTGCTTCAAACACAAATCTTGATCCACCCACCTGCAAATCCAATCCAACTTCATGATTAAATTTAGTTTGACCACACAACAACTTTAAGTCAAAATAGGATCTTGACCTGCAAATCCAAGATGAGGGGTACTTCAGTCTCTTCCATTTTTGCTGCCAATGATAAACAGGCTACAGCTAGCAACTGCATCATCCAAGCTTTGGCCTTATGTTAACAAAACACCATAAAAGGAATTGACTCATTTTAGTTAACAAATTGAATAAGGTTTCAATTGGAATTAGGAATATTTTATCAAATTAATCATATAAAACTTACAGGTAATTCATAAACAGCAAGGAATCTGTCCAAGTAATTTATGGATAAATATACACTTAGAGGTCCAAATTTGAAATGAGCATGAACCTGTTCAATGTGAACCACAAAAAGCATTAGAACCCCATAAAAATCCCAAATTGGAGACTGAAAATGTAGGATTCTTTTATAAGAAAAGATTAATCCCAGATCATAAAACCCATTTAATTCATCAAAACAACAGTGAAAAGAAGTTAAAGATGCATCACACCTTTGTAATCCAATCAACAGCCTCTTGTCTTGCAACCAAATCCAAGTCCCCATTCTTCAGTTTACTCAAATAATCAAAAAAACCCACAAATTGTTCACATTCTTTTTCAATCAATAAATTCAAACACTCATCAGTTTGCAAAGGAAAATCAAGAAGGGAATGCTCTGTTTCAAGAAGGTTGACGAATCTCTGGTTTTGATTAGCATTTTGATGATTTATATGATCCCATAAAACATCACCATCATCATCATCACCATCATCATCATCGTAACAAATACTGTCATTGTCTTCTGCACACAGTAAACTTGATACCAAGCAATCAAGACTGGGCGCCATTTCAAAATCCCTTCCAAAAAAACAAGATTTTTCACTGGGTTTCTATTGATTCAATGAGCAAACAATACAGCAAGCTCTGGAATAGATCAAAAACTGCAGATTTTGAAATAAAGATTGGGGGAAGAAACAATAGATGAAGCAACCTCTTTTTGCCCTCGGTTTCTCTCTCTATACACAGAAAATGAGTGAAATGAATCGCAAAGAATGCGGCTTATGTAGAGGATAATGGTAGAAATGGGGGTGAGAGTTTTGGGTTTTTAGGGCATAAGAGAGAGAGTGAGAGATTGAGATGCAAATGCAAATGCAATAGAATGAGCTATACATGCATGTGTTTAGGACATATAAATGTAGTCAAGTTATTTTTCTTTTAACGGGTGTGTTTGGTATACTCACCAAATTAAAACATTGAATGAGATTGGATTAAAAAGGATTCTGACATGTGAGAATCACATAGATGAGTAAAAGACTTATCCATGGTTTAGGGTTTTATTTTAGGAAAAAGAATAAACTTTTTTGTTTAGAATGATTAAGTTTTTGTATAATTTTTTGGAACAAATAAGTATTTAAACATTTCAAAACTTATTAAATACTCCTCGGACATTCCAAAACCTATTACATACATCCTTATGACCTATACATTTGGTTAATGTGGTAAAATAATGAAAAAAATCTGAAAAAAATCAATAGACTTTCATATTTTGAACAATTAAGTCTCAAAACATTTTTTAAACAAAAAAAGTGCTTACATCTATAAATTAAAATAAATATATCAAAAAATTATTAAATTTACAAAAATTTACTTAGGTGGCATTTGTTTTTTAAGAGATGCTGAAGTCTGAAGTCAAATTTCACTTCTGATTTATAAAAGGTGGTTCTGAAGTCTGAAATCTGGATCAGTAAAATTGTTTGTTTTACATCTGAAGTCTTAAATCTGAATCGGTTAAACTAGTACAAAAATATAAAAGATAAATACTTTTTTTTTACAAAAGTATAAAAGATAATTTGCTAACAAATCTCTTTCAGTCCCCAAAATAAGAACCATTTGATAGATGATGGATTATGACTAAAAGGCATTAAGAGAGTTTTTAAGCTTTTATTTTAAAAATAAAACAAGCAATCTTGATATCCAAACGTCTGAACGAATCAAACTTCAAAGGTATTAAGAGATAATTTAGAAAAAACAATCACGGTTTTACATTTAAAAAAAATTATTGATGGAATTTATTTTAATTAAAAATAAAATATTTTATGTCAGTGATTTTCAAATCAAAAAATAAAAAAAAGATTACCGATTAAATTTATTTTAATTAAAAATAAAATATATATTACGTTAGTGATTTTTCAAATTAAAAAAATAGAAAATAATTTGATTTAAGTACTGACGGATTAACGATAAAATTTAACTAAATACATAATTAATTCAAGTTCGTCGCTAATCCGTCAGTTAAATGATATCACCGACAAAGATTCAAACACGATCTTTCACACTTATTAACATGTTGTTGTGTTAGAGTGCTTGATAGTGGTTTAATTAATCATCAATTAGATATAAGTATTCCATGTATATATACCGATGAAGACTAGCGATAAATTTTAATTAATTATATATTTAGTTAAATTTTATCGTTAATCCGTAAGTAATTTAATCAAATTATTTTCTATTTTTTTAATTTGAAAAATCATCAAAAGAATATAATTTATTTTTAATTAAATAAAATTTCATCAACAATTTTTAAAAAAAATTATGTTTCTTAATTTAAAAAATCATATATAACATATATTTTAAATTTAATTAAAATAAATTAATCAGTAATTTTTTTAAATCTTTTTTTATTTTTTATATTTAAAAAGTCATTGATGAAATATTTTTTATTTTAATTAAAATAAATTTCATCAATAATAATTTTTAAATGTAAGTATTTTTTTGTAAATAAATGTTTAGAAACTTAATCGTTCGAAATATGAAAGTCCATTGGTTTTTTTTCGAAATTTTTTCATTATTTACCATATTAACAAGTTTTATAGCTCATAAGTATATATCTAACAGGTTTTAGAAAGTCCAAGAAGTTATTTAACAAGTTTTGAAATGTCCAAACTCTTATTTGTTTCAAAAAATTGTCCAATGACTTAATCATTTCAAATATTAAAGTACATTGGGGTTTTTAGACTTTTCCCATTATTTTATTTATTTTGATAGGATAAAAAAAATGCATATTTAGCCTACTCAATCATGTCGTATCCATATATGGTTGTCAAATACATTGTTAACACAATCATACTCCCCGGGTTAACAAATATACATTATTTTAATAGTACTTTTTCAATAAAACAATTAAAGCATGACATAATGTATATATCTATATAATAAAATAATATACGATATTTGTAGGGAGCTCCTTACATGTAAGAACAGAGGTTAAAGAAATAACATAGAAAACCAACATAGGGACTGCATCAGAGTGATCTTTTTTATATTCGACTCCCTACAATAGTTAAAGAGTCCATATAAATAATGTATCAGAGATGCTCTAAGCAATTATATGAACCATCATGAATCTCTTGTCTACATTTGGTCATCTTATTCGAGACAAGGTTTAATAAAAAGCAAAACAAAAATACATCCCCATCATGATATACACAAATGCAATTTTGTAAAGAGCATAATACCAATGTTATATATTAATTATACTTCTTATAGAATTATCACTGAAAAAAGAAATCCAAAACGACATCATTTTGAAAGCTAGGCTGTATAAATATTACCTTCAGTCTTTTTCAATTTTATATTACTTACTTGTATACTTTTGATTGTGAGTTTTAACTTCAAATATGATGAGACCAATTTTCGGAGAAAATAAACTACGTTAAATACATTGAACTGCCGGAGAAAGGATGGAATTGATGCTCTTGAGGTTATTACAGTATTTGTCTCTATTGTTTGTTCATTTCATCGATTTTCATCACATAATTTTATTGATTACATATTTTATTTGTGGTTTGTATTTTGTTTTGGTTTTCGTCCTGCTCACCAATGCATGTTATCTTTAGGTACCCCATGTGTCCTTCACGTGAGGGTATTTTGGTCATTTTACCGTAGTTTGTTTTTAAATAATAATCTTTTTCTTCTTTTCATAATTATTTATCAAGTTTCTCTCTCCATCCTTCATTAAAAAACCAAGTTTTGCTTCTTTTCAATCTCAATCTCTCAATATAACCCTAATCTTTGTGTTTTGGTTTCATCATAACATCCATAGACATTGAATTTAAACTAGTTTACCAACAAAACAGTTTGATTTATGTAGCTCCTTTAGGGTTTTACTAACAAAAGTTTCATTAACAAAATGATTTATGTAGTTTACCGACAACATGGCTTCATCATAACTACATGATTTCATCATAACTACATGATTTGTCTTTACATAAAAGATTAGGAGATAGAGTACATGCAGAAGATCAGTGGAATCCAATTGAAGGTCAAGGTTGATTGATGTGGCGACTTGATAAAGTCACCCATACTTATAAGTTGGAAGAAATTTGTGAGCTTCTTCGTTCTTCTCAGCATCAAGCTTGAAAGAAATCTCTAAGAAGCCACAACTAGGTTTGGATTGAAGATGAAATACAAACAACCTATCAACCCACCTTCTACCACCAAATATTTTATATTCCATAATGTTAAGGGAAGTGATACGCAAATCCTAGTTCTTCGTGTTTCTAGTTTGTAGCATACTGCTACTCTCTTATTTCATTCGCTTTAGACATTTCCATCGATGAAAACTTCATAGACGACATCTCCACTGATGTCGGTGAATTGCTCTACAAACAGCTACTACTGAAAGATGGCATTCTGCTCAAAACTAAGTGTGGCTAAAAGCATAAGTTCTAGAACTTAAGTAAAGTATATCATGGAGGGTGGGTTCATAGTGGTGATGGAAGAAAGAGGATACTGAATAAGAAGTTCGGTTTCTAGTTTTAGGTATTGGGATAATTTCTTGATCATTATTTGAGTCTTCAAGAAACATACTAAAACATCCTCATGTGATGGGCATGTGGGAGCCCTTAATGGAAGACACTTAATGACAGTTATGGAGAGAAAGAAAAACAACATAATATGCAAACAAAAAGGATAGATTTGTAATAAAGGAAGTTGAGGGATGAAATCAGGTGCTTAGAAAACCATAGGGATGAAATTTGAAATTAACTTTAAATCAATTAAGGCTATAATAGAGGTTGCACATGGGTTGGGTTGGATGGATTAAAGTCATTTGAACAACACAATTTAATGTTTGCAATTTGAAAAATCTCAACACAAACAAACCTAAACAAAAGTACAACCCAACCTAATCCATGCGGGTTGGGTTGGTCAGGTTGAAACTTTTGTACATGATTTTATTTTCCAACTAAGTTTTTGTGTTTAGATGGAGTAAAATTAAAATGAGAATATACATATAAGGTTAACAAACTCAAAAAAGATTGAAGTTTCATGCAAACAAGAAAATAAAATTATGGTTGAAATTGTGATATAATTATAAATATAATTACGAGTTAGTTTAATATTTAATGTACATTTATTAAAGGACTTAATAATCATATTAAATCCGTAATGTAAAAAGGCATTGGGATGAGTTAGGTTTAAATGGCCCTAACCCAATTCCAACCCAACACCTACAGTTTTAAAGCTCGATTAAGTGTCAAGTCACCTTGGGTTGGGTTGACTAGGTTGGTGTTGTGTCGAAAGAGAACCCCAAAAGAAAATAACAAATGGAAGAATAAACAAGTATACATACTTATCTCATATTTTCTAAAAACAAGCAATAAAGGTAAGAATATCATATATCGATCCACGGGGATAAAAAAAGTGAATTTCCATCAAGTAAATCTTAGAATGAGATTTCAGATGGTGAATAAAAATGGTTTTGGCTTTAGTGAACAATCTACTGAGTAATGACAATAATTAAGGAAAGCGTGGGTGCAAGTTCAGGATGGGATTTAGCGACAGAGGGTGTTTGACAGTTGCTGAATGATTTGGATTAATAGGCTCTTATGATATAATGCAAAATGAAATATAATTGTTTGGTAATTGTTATGAGTAAAATTAGGGCGCTGAATGGTTAAAGGAGGCCCAAGGTACAAAATCATTAAGAGGATTTTAGAACTATTAAGAGAGATACTTTTTTTTGCCAAACAAGATTCACCTTATCGATTCAGAGATTGCCTCTTAATGGAACTATTAAGAGG